AGGCTCTGAGTCTTTGAGTTAAGAATGAGTGGAAGATTGATGTCTGGATGTCTGTGATATCATATATATATAATATATATATATATATATATATATATATATATATATATATATATATACAAACAACACAGTTTAATAGGGTTGCAGTCAGAATATTGGCCGGGATGTTAAAAAAAAACACTCTTTTGACTTTTTGTCGAGCTTTCGGAATGGTTTTATTTCTTTTTCAAGACACTGTAAAAGACAATTATGTGAATATTTAAAAACTATCACAATTCTTCAGTGTAACTTACTAGTCATTAAGATTAGTATATATATATATATATATATATATATAATATATATATATATATATATATATATATATTCTTAATTTCCATATTTCTAAGGTTTACACATATATTAAATCTTTAACTTTTCAAATTAATAACGTTACTTCGTTTCTGGACAATCACCTACCTGACAATTTGTTGAACACTTTTAAGTCTTCTTTGCATAAACAATTTAATTACACATATAATAAATCCATGGCACACCTTAAAAATAAACTTAATAATTTAGATACTCCTGATTTTAAGAAAATTCCATTCAACCCTAAGTGGATTAAAAATTTATCTAACATTGAGTTTCTTCCTGACATACTTAAGTTGTTATCTTTGGGTCCTAAATTTGGCCTTTAACCTACTTTCAAGGACTACTCAATTGGTAGAATCTTAGCAGATTTTGAGAATATTTTGTCTTATGCTGACAATTCTGACCTTTTATCTCTTAGGTCTTCTTCTAACAACATCTTGTTGAATTTCACCAAACGCCCTAGGCAACCCTTATCGGAGTTAGATTTACAGGGAGACGGTATCGTTTTTAAAAACCCACCCTAATCTTCTCGGTCTTCGAGTGACAAAGGTAATGCTACTGTCCTTATGGATAGAGATCAATATTTCAGTTTGAGTAAATCACTGTTAGATGATGATAGATACTATCAACCACTTTCTACGAACCCTTGTTCTAAATTCACAAATAAAATAAATAAATTTATAACACACTTAAAAAATATTAATATCATAGATCAACCTTTAGCTAAATCTTTACATAATTATGATTGATATGCTCCAAGATTTTATTGTCTACCAAAAATACATAAAGCTACGTTGAGCATGAGACCTATTGCGTCGTCAATTAATTCACCTAATATAAATATAGCTAAATTTCTAACATCTTATCTAAATCACATAATTACAACAATGACTTCAATATTGTTGATTCTTTTAACTTTAGTGAATTTATTAACAATTTTCAACTACCACAAGGTTACATTTTAGTAAGTTTTGATGTGGTTTCTCTCTTCACCAACTTACCTTTGTCCAGTGTTATCACTTCCTTAAAAAATCATTGGAATTCTATTAAACCTAACTGCCCTGTTTCTCGGGATATATTTCAAGAGCTGTTGCAACTTGTTTTCGACACTAACTTCTTGGTCTTTGATGACAAATATTACCTTCAAACATTTGGCACACCTATGGGTTCCTCAATCTCTCCCATCCTAGTTAACTTTGTATTGGATGATTTGGTTTTTGACCGTTTAGGTCCAGCCTGGTTTTTTTACTATTATTTATTATTTGGTTCTGCATATTCTGTACCTTAAAAGTGTTTTTATATAAATGTTCAAGTAATTAAAATTACATTTTTGAATAGCTCATATTCGACGTTTTCACTTTAACTTCGGAAAATGTTTTCTAAAAGATTATTTAAGATATTTGTTAAGAGTGTATAAACTTCTTCTTCTTTTTTTTTCTCTTTATGTTTTTTGTTTTTGCTTTTACGCTACTGAATAGTCAGCCAGTGCATTTGTGTTGTTAATGCTTGTGCCACTGTCGTGAGTCTAAGAAATATCTAATGTCCTATTGTAGTCAGTGCTTTGGTTTAAGCTGTAAATAAGTCAGCCAGAGATGAGGTTATGTCTTCTCAAACAAAAAAAGAATAAATAAAAATTGACTTGCTTTGAGTTTGGTGTCGGTGTCATAGGCAACAACCATGGGTGGATGAAAGATATGACGGTGAATTTTATGACATACGGAACTTCAAAATTGTGATTGGTATCCAACAGCTACTATAGAGAGCAGTATATAGCTACTATTCAAAGAGCTCTTGGCAACCGCGAACTCTCCCCACCTAAAGTAATTTTTGGCTGAGGCTCTGGCTATTCTCAGCTTATTTGATCTGAAATACTGTAGTGAAGAGTGCATATTTTGTGTTTGCAACTAGAGAATTTTATAGACGTAGCTGGCTGTATTAGACCCACTTATACCAATTACGTGATTTTTACATAATTATTGTGTTTAAGGTAAATAATATTTTGTGTCAGGTTAATTTAGACTGTCCCATTTTCTTTTATTTGAATTTTTTTGTATTTTGTACAAAATATTGTATGTATTTTCTTCTTTCCAGTTTAAAAAGTCTCGAAATAAACCTTTTGCTGTTAATGATATTAAGGGCGTCGGCGTGGGCGTCGTCTTTAAATAATGTATTAGTGAGTGAAGAGGAGATACAAGCAGGAGCCAGTATAATCCAAACGGCCCATGCCAGCGATAATGCCATCTAGGTACTATCGCTTATACAAAGGTATAATGCTCATGAAATTTTTGGTGATCATGATTTGGTCAGTGATATTGACTGGGATGCATTAGGTAAAGACATTGTGCAAACTTTATCCAGTGAAGTAACCGACAAATCTGGAAATAAAGATGCAGTGGATGAAAAAATACAAAAAATTACTAATACATAAAAGACAAAACAAAATGGTCAAAAATTTCTTAAAAACAAACTAAAGCTCTAAAAGAGAATATTATGAGAGTTCTGCCTGGTTTAAATAAAAATAAAAATTAAAATTCAAGGGCGCTATTCGGTCCTGTTATTATACTTTCCGTTAATATTACAGAAATGGAAGCGTTTATTGGTTGCTCTTGCTCTATATGCAAGGAGTATTTTAATCTGGATACGAGGATTTACATTCAATTTAAGCAACTGACTGAATAGACCGCGATTTATTTCAATGTACAGTGACACTAATAAGATTGTCCTTATAGTATCCTTTATAATGTCATGTCTCCGATTTAATGATGGTTTGACAAGAACTGAGAGAAGAAGAGACACTAAATTGGCCCAAATAATTATTACATTTTAACAATTTATTCCAAATTGTTTCTAAAACTATTCACAACAATTTGTACCAAATTGTTCCTACAACTATTCACCTCCAACGCCAAATTCCGCCAGAATTTCTTCCTCGAAAAAAGGCCAGATGATTGTTCTTTGTTTGGATTCATTTCTGATATTATCATGGTATCTTATGTACATAAGAAAGGCAAAAGTGTAATACTGATATCTACAATACACCATGACAATGTTGCTGATAAGAGAATAAACAACCTGACATCATTTTATTTTATAATTCGACAACGGCCGGTATTGATGAATTTAATCAGAAATGTGCCAATTATTCTGTAGCTCGAAGATCACAATGATGGCTAATGGAGTATTTTTTCCTGTTATAGATATTGCAGGTATTAACGCCAGAGTGTTACATCAGTTTGTAAATAAAGGAAATAAAGGAAAGAGAAGAATATATAACTTCAATATACCCCGACAAATTCAAGCTATTGCGGCATATGTTCTTGGCACTAAATTTTTAAGTGTTTCTCAAACCAATGAGAATAAAAAAAGAAAGAGATGTCATTTCTGTCTAGCCAAAAGAGACAGAAAAACAAACTATGTTGGCACAAATTGTATAATGCTTAAATTAGTATGCAAAAAATGCAAATAATAACTTCAATTTTTATTTAAACTATCTATGGCACTTCGTTTTTTAAAATTAGTTTATAAATAAGAAAATTTGTTTTCTTTATATAAAAAAAATGGGTCTTAAAGACCCACTTATAATACTTAGGTAATTACTTTTAACTTATAGCAGGGTGAGCAGGGTGAGCGTTCATATGTTATTTTTGTGTGTTGTATGTGTATTGTGTATAATTAAGTATGACGTATGACGCTGCTGATACGATTGTTACAGTTTTTTTTTTTAATAAGTAGGATGATTGCGGCTTCTTTTAGTTTTTTTTGTCTATTTCCTTCAAGAATATTGATGATCTGTCAAAGCTCCTGTTTTTTATGTATGTTTCATGCTCGTTTATCCTGACACTTAGTGGTCGTGTGGTTTCCCAACATTAAAATTGTGGCATGAACATATCACAAGATAGCAGTTTCAGAACATAACCATAGTTTCTGACTTATTCTTAACAGTTTTTAAGTGTGTTGTATTATTATAATAGTTCGTTTAGGATCGACAAGTATGAGAGGAACAAAAGTTCATATTTAGTGAGAAATGTAAAGACTTAAATATAGATATAGCATGTTGCCTTTAGTAGACAGTCTGTAATAGTTACGTTTAGACACGTAACTGTCATTTAAGTTAAAGCACGGTAAAATACGCCACTATATTGTGTAATATGATTCTCTTATGTTGATCCTCTCTCATCAATATACAGCTGAATCATCATTAGCAGATCCAAAAAAATTCTTACGTATTTTTATTTATTTTCTCAGATATAAAATTATAGTTTACATTTAGCTAGATAAGACCTGGAAAGACCACAAAAGTGTAAAAAATAAAGTTCATAACGTATTTTTGAATAAATAGACACATAATTATATGATTAAAACAAAAAAGGGCATTTAAAAAATTATTATATTATGAACACCTTGTATATTGCATTATACCTAGAGCTGCTTAATTTTTAACACAATTGTCATTTTATAAAATAACAAGATTATGTTATTTAAAATAAATCCAATATTAGCCAATTTATTCTTATATAGAAGTCTAAGGTTATTATCGTACCACAAATTTATAAAATATAATACTAAGAATTATCTACTAAAATTCCCATAATTTTTATTTTACCAATAGGTCAAGTATTTAAAAGCATATCAAGTAAACTAAAAGTAGCTGTGTTAGTGACGAGTTCCAAACTGCATTAAGATGAAGTGGATAGTGTTAACAGTTGTTGTACTTCTTGGTGAGTATTTCTCAGCGAAAAAGTTAAATTAGGGTAGGTATAAGTAACATTATTTTTTTGCTTTAAATAATTACCTCCAAAAAGTAAATTTTTATAATAAAATAGTACTAAATTTTCTTAATCAAATAATGGCATAAAGTCTCCACTCTTTTTAATCGACAAGACTCACAACTGATATCATATGCTTGTTATAAATATATATATATATATATATATATATATATATATATATATATATATATATATATATATATATAATATATATACATTAAAAGTCTTTATTGGTGTTCTTAAGCTTAGTAAACAGTACACTCTGGATACTTTGGGATATTTACAAACGTAGATATTTTCCGTAGAATTACAATAAGAATGTGGCAATTTGTTTTCCTTCACTTCATCCTCCCGCCTTTTCTATAGCCTTTCTTTTGGTCTCTTTGGTCCCGGCATGTTATCTTTAGTCCCTGCATTGCCAAAACGGGCTGTTTTGGCAATCCTATATATAGTCTTCATTTTCTCTACATGACTCTAAAGTTTAACAAATTCTGTGATCGGTAAATCTTTGAACACTTGATAAAGTACATTGTTGTACCTTCTTACTGCGTTTTTAGTAATAGGTCCAAATATCTTTCTTAAGACTTTTCTTTCAAAGACTTTCAGCTTTGGTTTTTTGTATTCTGTCATCACCCATGTCTAGTATCCATAACATGCATACATCCGATAATCATTTTGTAGGCACTGATGTTCGATCTCCAGTATGTGTTTGTGGAGCGGAATACATGGGGAGTGAAAAGTAAGCTTTGTTTTCCTTTACTATTTTTCTTTGAATTTTTGGTTCTTCTGTACCATCCGTGTTTAATTTAACTTTTGAATATGTGGAACCTTCTACAGTTTCAATATCATCCTTTAACTTAACTTTTCGTTTGTTTCTCCTAGCTCTTGCCTGTGTTAGTTTTTTTGGATTTTAAATATTTATTTCTAGTCTGATATCTTCTGTCCCAGTTTTAAATTTTTTTTCTGCAATCCATGATGCTAATGTTTTCGTTATAGGCAGCAATCTGTATTGATCTAGTTGTTAGATTATTTCTTCCTATATTCATATTTAGCTTAACATATATTTCAGAGTCAGATTGAATAGTGTCGGTGTCAGTTCGTCTCCTTGTTTTAATTTTTTGACTTTTGAAAACTTCTCAGTGAGCTTATTTTGTATTCTGACAGTTGCTGTTGATGGATCCGTTGTTTTTTTTTAAATAGTCGGATGTATTTTTGGGGTCTGTAAAATCTATGCAATATTTGATATCATTTTTGTCTATTCATTAAGTCGTAGGCCTGCTTGAGATCTATAAATACTTTGTGGGCGTCAATATCGTATTCCCACGGTTTGTTTAGAATTTACTTTAATGTGAATTGCTGGTCAGATGTAGATCTTAGATCTTTGTAAATGGGTATATTTAAAAACCCTTAAAAGGGGTTACATCAATTATACGAACGTTTTTGGAATAAAAATTTTATCATCAGTTTTAAATTGCCCAAAATAAGTTTAAACCATTTAATTAAAGCAAACATGGTTTAAAATTTTGACTAAGGTTAAAAAAGAGCAAAAATGGTTATACTCACAAATTGACATGAGTGAACCACCAAAATATCAGGGTAAAAACCCTTTAAATTACATATGTTTACTAAAGATTGTACATAATGTTGTTAACACATTTGATTCTTCTTCTTTAAGTTCCATCTTGTATCGAAGGTTGGAAATCATCATGGCTATGCGGACTCTGTTGACTGCCGCTCTAAAAAGTTCTGCACTACTGCATTCAAACCATTCCCTTAAGTTCTTAAGCCAGGATATTCTTCGTCTTCCCACATTTCGTTTGACACAACACCTTTTGATGTTTGATATTAATTTAAATTTGACTTCAGGTAACATACACCCATGTTTTAGGCTAGTTACAGTGACCGGAGAGTAGTCCTCTTTAAACGGGCTCCAGCTGGTAATTGATTGACAAGATACTTATGAACGGTGTCGAAAACAAAATGTCAATGCACCATGAAACAATGTTTTAATTATACATAGTATTACTACTGTTTGATCAGAAAGACACTCGTTTCTGTCTATTGTATTTTTTGTTGTTGATAACTCTCGATTTGTTATTATAGTTACGTACAATATGGCGCCAAATATGAATATTTAAAAGTGTCCTTAGGAATAATAAAAATACGTGTGCATTAATAGCACACGTATTACATAAAATGCAATTAATAAAAATCATTCATTTAATTGCAATGAAACTAATATATTAAGACGTGAAAACCAATTAAATAAAAGAGAATTCTTGGAAATGGTATGCATAAATAAATATCAATGCGTTAATAAAAAAAACTGATATTGATAAACTAAGCAATATCTATAATTACATTCTGTCTTACGAAAATTAATACTATAATTTTCTAATATTGTATTTTCTGACTATAAATACTATAATTTCAAATAAATTAAATATTCATATTTGGCGTCACTTTGTACGTAACTATAATAACAATCGAGAGTTAGTTATCAACAACATAAAATACAATAAACAGAAACGAGTGTCTTTCCGATATAAATCAAACATCAATATAATAATTAATGTCATAATGAATATAAACACAATTAAATTAAATTAAAATATTGTACTTACATAAATATATAATTTGAATAAGTTAAGTTTTAATGTTTAATGTTTAATTTAAAAATTTAATGGATTAACCTCATGTTGTAAGTTTTTATATTAGTTTTATACAATGTTTTTTAATTCTAATTTCATTGTATTCACTGATACCATATTTTCGCATATCCTGAAGAAGCAAATTAATTCTGCGAAAGCTAGATAAAAGAACAAAGAGTGTCACTTATCCTGCCCTATTACTAACTGTAACCTCAAAATAAAACTTTATATTCTGATATACTTATATGTAAATATAGTATATATAAATATATATAACATATATATATATATATATATATATATATATATATATATATATATATATATATATAAATATATATATATATATATATATATACATATATATATATATATATATATATATAATATATATATATATATATATATATATATATATATATATATATATATATATATATATATATATATACGTCTTCATATCAAGGCGAGATCCGATTAAATCGAGGACAACCCGAGATCCACCAATAGGAAATTAATTAATGGAGTATATTGTTCATAACTATCTTTATAATTAACATATTAATCATGGCACACTTATGGAGGGGAAAAGATTTTTGAACTTAAATTTTTTTGATACAGTTACAACAAAATGAGATCCGTAGCTGAAAAGGGAAGGGGAAGACTTATATACGAAATTTTAGATATTTACAGATCAACGCGAGATCAGACACTGTTGCCAGCTCTAAAGAGTATTAGTCGAGCGACCGGAGCTCGTGTTGTATTGCATATTTCCTACTCAAACAGTAAAGTAATTTGCGGTTATGGTGTTTTGTATTTTAAAAATATTGCAAGGGCAGCGTTCAGTTGAAGTAGTAAAACAAAATTCAAAGATAACAGAAACTAAGTAATGATTATAATTTTTATGTATATTATTAAATAATTCAACATAAACTTTATAAACTGAATTACTAAAATGCTCTGTTTTATTGAATTTGTGAAATCTATTCTCAAAGCTCTTTTTGTTTATTATTTATGTACAAAATTAAAAAGGGGAAATTATTTAAACTAAACAGTTTATCTGTATAACAAAAGCTATTATTTTAACATTCTAATCGTGTTTTAACATAAAAATATTAGTTTTGTACAAGAGTAAATACAATTCCATACTGAAGAGTAAATAGACTGGAAAAAGGCTTCTAAAATAGATTTTGGTGGGCACTTTGTTGCTAAAATGCAAAACCTATTTTTATTCGTTTCTAATATCTTTCTAATGCAAAATCACTTGGTCGTCCAAAAATCGTAGCGTGAGGGGAGTGTTGGGGAGCCTTACAAAAAAGTGCTAATTTGTTTTTCGTCCTTTTTCGGATCTACGATATCCGAAAATTCATTCTTCAAATTTGCATATCGATCCGGACATTAGAAATATTTTTATTTTATTTATAAAAATACGTCAAACCATTGTTGTATACGGAGTGCCTTCATACAAAATGAGTCTGAAAACCCATATTTTTAAAATCGTTTCTCCTCGCTCTACCCCGAAAAATATTGGGTCTAGCAAAAAATGGCTTTCTATAAAAGTTATAGATCAAACATCAGAGAACATGTCGGTTTGTTTAGAATGTCGATTGGATAAATAGTTTAAGAAAAACTTAAATAAATCGAAATCCATGTCACGACGCACAGTGGCAAACGCAGAGATGCGAGGAAGGGCGAGATTCATAATCTGAAGTCAACCTCAAATCGACTTTAGTAATGGCGATTTTGTTAGGGTCGATTTTACATTGAAATTCTGTTGTGTTGTATATTCGATTGCGAAAGTGCATCATTGTGCATTATTTTTTTCTACTAGCACGAAATCCACTGAGCTGAGATTTTTAATATTAGAAGTTTTAAATTATTTTAATGAACAGCAGCAGATATGACAGTGAACTTGAGTCAAAAATCAGATTACGGCATGTTTCTTTCCGTAAAGTCCATTTCCATTTTCGTTTGCTGAAAGAAGCGGAAACTGGAGAATACATTTTTGTTCTAGTTTTAGAAAAATGTACCCCTACTTCTTTGCATTTGACCATGTGAACTATTCTTTTCGGGGAACATTACATTTGTTGGACATGTACAAACTTGCTGATAAGGCCCCAGAATTTCATGAAGACTTTATGAGAAAAAGTTATGTTGTGAAAAGTTTGAACAGAAACTTTAACCAACTATTTGTAGATCCAGCTTGAAACATATAAATACAAACTCAAAAGATGCAGGAGGAATCGTGAGATTGATTAAAACCAGCACCAAACTAGACAAATGGTTGTTAAGCTACAATATGATTGGCATGATGGTAGATGAATTTCGTGCATCATGAGACCTAAGCAACCACTCAAGTCAAAACGTAGACAATAGAAAAAAAACGGATGAAAATTGACGAATATTCTGTACAAAAACTACATGATCAGTTTTTTTACGATTTAATGTATTTTTCAAAAGCGTAGATCGTCTTCTCGTAATTTCAGCTAATAAGATTGCATCGCCAAATGTTCAAATGCCCCTACTAAATATACAAAAAAAATGGAGAAGAGCCTAGCAAAATTTCTTCTTACTGTTAGAACTCCCAATTTTTATCAGCATACGAGAAGTACTTTCAACATTTCCAACACTATAAAACTGTCTCTGAAAAGAAAAAAATTATTCATGCTGAGCAAGAGCTTTTATAAAAAATACTAACAACCAAGGCAATTGAAAGTAACATAAATATTATGAGAATATTTTCAAATATGAATTTACAGCATATCCAATGTCACTTGTACCTGTAGGAGTTTAATGATACCATCAAATAAATCTGCCTTAGGTTCTATAATAGGACAGTTTACAGTTATGTCTAAATATCTACCATTACCATTATAAAGTAACAAAAGTGTCACATTCTTAAAGGTATGAGTTTAATCCAAGCCGTTGGCAAACCCTCCAACTGCAAATCATTTGGCGACTATGCAAGAATTTTAAAATCAATATTGTTCAAGAACTTCTACAACCCTAAAAGGATTGGTTTTGTATTTGACCAGTACTAACAATCTTTGTCATGGTCCATATAACCTTTCTCCTACTTCAGACAGTATAATATATAATATTCGTGTACATACTCATCCAAACGAAGGTATGATTATGTAGTGTGACACCAAGACTTTGACTCCCGAATCTGTTGCTAACTGGCTGGAGTAAAGAAAATGTAGAGCTGGTACCAGTTTTAAGCACGGAATCCAAGTTGAAGAAACATACATACATATACTATACTCCTAATAGGTGTAAAAGATGAGTTTATTTTTACCTTTTTGTGACGAATAATTATTATATTTAGTCCAGGCTGTGAGGCCGCTCCCGTGGGAAAATGTTTCTGATTCGGTTTCTTCGCGGATTCCGGTTCAAAAATGTCCCCTTTAAACAAATCTGAAGGGTACCGGGCGAAATTTTTGGGCAGAAATTGTTTAAACAATTTTTTTAAACAATGTCCAAAAATATTTTTTTTTAATCTGGGAAACGTTTTTTTAGATTTTCTGGGCCATTTTAAACAAAAAAAAATTTCTTGTCATTTTTCTCTAAATTTGATAGTTTTCGAGTTATAAGCGATTTAAAGTCTAAAAAATGCGTATTTTCGCGTTTTTCAGACTTTAAATCGCTTATAACTCGAAAACTATCAACTTTAGAGAAAAATGACAAGAAACCTTTTTTGTTTAAAATGACCCAAAAAACCTGAAAAAACGTTTTCCAGATTAAAAAAAATATTTTTGGAATTTGTTTAAAAAAAATTGTTTAAACAATTTCTGAACAAAAATTTCGCCCTGCACCCTTTAGATTTGTTTAAAGGGGACATTTTTGAACCGGAATCCGCGAAGAAACCGAATCAGAAACATTTTCCCAACGGGAGCGGCCTCACAGCCTGGACTAATTGGTTTTTTTTCTAATTGTCAGACTGTACAGGGGCTCCAATGCTCATGTAAACGGAAACGAGATCAAATTCATTGGTTCTTGTAAATATATTATGGCCCAAGTGAAATGTTACAAAAAAGGTAATAAACGTGAACAATTTTAACCATAGAGAGTGTTACTTCTTTTTATAGTAATGAAGAGTCTAACATAGAGTAAGATAACTAACACAAGATAATAATTAAGAAATAGGTACATAGATTTAATTGTTTTTATTACTATCCATTGTTCTTGAACGTGAAATTTGCTGCCAGGGAAAAACTGTTGCAATTTTAGATGTTTTATATATCACAAGCTTTTGAATTTTAACGCCGTTACAACGTCCTTAATAAGCTTTATATAATACTAGATAATAATGTATGAAAATTTTTGGGACAAACCCCGATGTACCAAGTCACCTAAGAATCGAACACAGAAAGAGTCCCACAGGTCAATCCTTTTGATAACGTGGGTATCTGGGATGAGTGAATTTTCCCCTACGAGGGAGTGCGAGCTGTATAGCTAAATTTGGATTTTCTTCAGTAAACGAATTTAAAGGAAATATAAAGTTAATTTGTTTATAAAGCTATAGCTCGTAAACTATTTGACGTACAGTGTCCAAGTTTAGCATAAATGAACTACATATATTGAAAAATATTCCCGTGGAATCTTAATATAGTACGTGAACAGCATAGTTGGTCCCTTAATTATAAATGATATGCAAAACAGATTTGTGTTTGTAACTCTCATTCAAATTGAACGCGGTTAGATTTATTTTGTAGGTCTTTTAAAAGTGATTAAAATAAGTTTTTGTCATTTTTTTGTAAAACAAACAGTGGAGAAGATATGCGAAGAAAAATTGTAAAAAAATAATACTACAAATAAACAATGTCTCCGAAATTTTTTAGACTTCGAGTACTTACCAACGTGTTCTACATAATTTTATCTAAAAAATTACTTAAAATCGTCTAACTCCTAAAAAGTCATCAAAACGACGATTTTGAAGCTCTTCCCACTGGTTAAAGAAGCTATTATAGATTCACACAAAAGTTGTGTATTTTCAACTCTAAATTTCTAATTTAATTAATTATTCTAATTTTATATCTATATCCATAATAGTTCTAATCTAATTTCAAAATGTTTATTTAAATAAAAATGAAGGGTTCCAGTTGAAAATTCAAAGTTGCTACACCCACCGCGTTCGCAGGGAGAATAAGAACCCTGCTATTGCGTAAGTATATAGATTTTGAAAAACCATTAAAAAAGAATTCCTAAGTTTGACAATCACCTTTCTGGACAGAGCTCTTTAATAATGTAAATAATATTATTCAAACCGGAAATAAGCAGAAGGGAGTGAGAGGTCTGACTGCAAAATTCATTTGCGATGTTGCCAAATTTACCGGATCTCGGGTTGTCTACAAAATGTATATTTAGCATATACACAAAGGATCGCTCGCACTGCCTCTACAGCAGATTTAGTGGAAGTACTGCAATATAAAATTCACCAAAAGGGGTGCAAAATGAGGTCCAGACAAAAATCGATTTCTTTGTACCCCCATCATTGTTACATCGAGATGTCACTATATACACGTGAATACAAGGTGAGATCCAAAATCGGATCTCGCCTTGCAAAACGGATCTCATTTTGTATAGCTTATGATACAAACGGATCTCGCCTTGATATGAAGACATATATATATATATATATTATATATATATATATATATATATATATGTATATATCTATCTAATTAGCCTTCCTCGGTCCATCTTTGGACATAGGCCTCCCCACCTTTTTAATTCTTCTCTGTCTGTCGCTACAGTCATCCACCTAGAGCCCACGTGCTTTTTGATATCATCTACCCATCTCATTTGGGGCCTTCCTCTGCTTCGTTTATATTCCCACAGTCTCCAACTTATAATAAGAATTTTGTTCCATCGGTCTTCTTTTTGTCTTATATTGTGTACGGCAAATCTCCATTTCAATTTTGTAGCTTCTTGTCTAACATCCCTCAATTTTGTTTTCCCTCTTATCCACTTGTTTTTCTTTTTATCCATTTGTCTGATGTGCAACATTTAACTTTCCATTGCTCTTTGGGTTTTTATGATTTTTCCCATGTTTGCTTTTGTAAATGTCCATGTTTGGGAACCATAAGTAAGGACAGGGAGTAAACATTGATTGTATGCTTTGGTCTTAAGATGTTGTGGATATCTTTTGTTTTTAAGAATGTAGCTTAGTTTTCCAAATGCCGCCTATGCCAGTCTAACTTGTCTTTTTATCTCTGCTGTTTGGTTTTCTTTGTTAAGTTTTATAGTTTGACCCAGATATATATATATATATATATATATATATATATATATATATATATATATATATAAATATATATATATATATAATCCTAAACTTTGTTCTATTTCATCTTGTCTGATTCTCATTGTGATGTCTTCATCTGTATTTGTTATGGTTTTTGTCTTGCTGTAATTCATATTAAGGCCTATCTTTTCAGCTTCTACGTCCAGTTCTTTCATCATTTCAAATATTTCTTCTTTTCTATCGTTTATCAATACGATGTCAGCAGCAGATGATTTTTATACGTTTTTCTTTTCATTCTAATATTTTAAAAGTATCTTCCAGGGCCTGATTGAAAAGTTTCGAAATCTATGAATGCCATATATAGGGGAATGTGGTATTTATTTTCTCGTTCTATAAGTATTTTCATACTTAGTACATGGTCACTTGCGCTGAATTCCTTTCTCAAACCAACATGTTCTTTCGACTGGTATCCGTCGAATTTTGTCGTCAATCTATTAGTTCAAATTTTTGTTAGGAATTTCTACTCTTTCTACTATTTTAGATTGATATATATATATATATATATTATATATATATATATATATATATATATATATATATATATATATATATATATGTATATTTAATATATATATGTATATATATATATATATATATATATATATATATATATATTTATTTAATGATATAATAAACATTCTCTACTAAGCTTATTTATTTATTCTAGGTTTGACCAATGCAGATGAATTTTCCGAAGAGAGAGCAGGTAATAAATTTTTGTACACATTATAAATATTAATATGGTCAAGGAAGGTAAATCTAAAACAATAATTGGCACATTTGCAGATGATTATACAATATTATGTCTAAAGGTGATGCTTAACAAATAAGATAAAAATTGATATTAATCAAAGATTGTAAAATACAACTTAATAGTTCGGAGTCAATCCTAGTCAATTTTATGTTATAACGAGCCCTCGGTATCTCATAAAAGATGTCAGTTACCTCAAACAAACTAAGCAATATACTTCGGACTTCATCTGGATAAAAGTTTTTAGTATAGTCTAGTATATTATTAAAATTAACCTTAATTAATTAAGTAAATCAAAGTAGCTGTATAAAATCTAAATAATAATAACAAATAAACGAAATCTTTTCGATTATCTTTTTGCAATACTATTTTTCGATATGGTCAAAAACAAAACTACTTTACTTTTCAGGAAAATTTATATTTGTGGAAAATAAGATTATTTTGACTTCTTCTAAAAAACATGTTTTTGATTTTTATTAATAATAAGGAATATTTTCATACAGTTCCTACTTATATTTAGGTCTTCAAGTCACTCTTAACTTATATACTGCTTGTATATGATAAAATAAATTACATTTCTTAAATATAATAATTTCTAAAAACGCCAATATACGTAATTTTGTAATTTTAGCACTTTATAATTAAACAAAATAATATATTGTAGATAGTAATACACTAGTATTGTCATCTTAAAACCACATCTTTTAAATGCACAACCCTGTATCAGATAGACTATTTAGATGATTCTTAACGAGCAAATTTTTACAATAAAATCAAATATTTAATATATACTCAATGTCTCAGTTATTAGCTTCTGGTTATCCTTTTTTATGAAATTGCTTTCCAAAATAGACCACAATGTTTCAATTATCAACTTCCACCATTTCAAATTATTTTTCTTCGTTTAAAATTTATAATTAATTTTTTTTTTAATAATATTTCTTCTTTATTGTGATTGACTTTTACTATTAATAATTTATTTATTATGGTTTGTTTAATTTCTTTTCTATGAAAATTTAACAAAAAGTTAAGTTTTACCAAAATTAATTGTGACAGTTTGACTTCTCAAAAATTAATCCTGTTCACGCTCCAAGTAATAGCGTATTTATAGATTTTTCAATGTTCTTGAAAATTCTCGAACGAAATGAAGTTAGATTCTTTCTATTTTAATATATTAATTTTTTGACGTTTTATTTTTAAACTTCTAAAACGTTCTTTTTTTTATTTTTAATTTTTATCGAAATTTATGCTTTTCAGATCAGAATGAGAACTTATATAAAAATTAAACATTTTAGATTAGTAAATAACATTATTTTAAATCATAATTATTATTTTAAATGTCCACTTTCAGTTCAACTTCACCTTGATTCACTGTACCATATCACTTATATTCACAAAATTTCCAATATAACAAATTTACTAATCTAATTCTATTTATAACATCATAACTATCAAAATAACCAAATACATTGCAAAATAAGAACTTTTAAATAAACTATTATGCTCAATATGCTCATTTTTGAGGATGCCCTCATATAAATACTTTTTATATTATTCTCTAGTATATAACTCCCAACAGAAAAATGGAAAGAACACTACGAGAGTTTGCTAACAGAAAGTAGAGCAGAATATACCGCACAATCACTAACGGAGGTATCAGTAGACGGCGAAGAGATAGTAGTGGGAGTTGATATGCTGAAGAAAGCTGTAACTGAACTAACAAATGTTAGAGCTCCAGGCCCAGAAAATATTCCAGCAGAATTAATAAAATGTGGCACAGATAAACTATTTCTAGCACTTACTTGGTGTATGAACAAATATATAAACGGTGTCACACCACCCAGTTTATGGAAAGTAGCTTATATTTCTTCCATCCATAGAAAAGGAGATAAGTTGGATTGCTCAAATTACAGAGGAATATCGGTAACTAGTACACTAAGCCGGGTGTACGGACGCATTCTTAGAAATCTCATTGAGATGGAGTATAGGGAACAAGAAGAAGAAGAACAGGCTGGTTTCCGATCTGGAGGAACTTGCACAGATAATGTCTTCTGCCTAAAACAATTAATTAAAAAAAAATTAGCAACCAATCAAGAGACCCACCTCATGTTTGTTGATCTCCGTAAAGCATACGACAGCGTGACTGTGACTAAATTGTGGAAATCACTACAAGAAACTAACATTAGCTACACTTTAATCAAAGCCTAAAAAATCTATATGAAAATTCTACATCACAAGTAAAAATTGGCAACACACTATCTAAAAAGTTCATCGTTAACAAGGGTCTGCGCCAGGGCTGCTGTATTTCACCAACGTTGTTTAAGATATATATTGCAAAAGCACTAAACCAGTGGAAACGTAAATGTCACGGTATCGGTATAGACCTCGGAGATGTTTGTTTATATACCTTACAATTTGCTGATGACCAAGTCATCATAGCCAATGATAAAGACGATTTAGAGTATATGGCAAGAAAACTAAAGGAGAAATATGAACAGTGGGGATTGGAAATAAATGTAGAAAAAACTAAATACCTACCCATACGAGCTGAGTTATCCAATATCGAACTAGAGAATAATGAAGAAATTACATCCCGTAGTGAATATACGTACCTGGGAGTAATCTTCGATAGAACGGCAAAAGACGATAAGAAAATAAAGAAAAGGGTTACACAAGCTAGAAGAACAATTGGCTGCCTTAATGGAATACTTTGGAGCTCTGAAATACGAATAAAGCGAAAATATAACATCTATGAGTCACTAATTAAAAGCAGTCTACTTTATGGAGCAGAAACTTAGAAGAAATTAGAAGCTGTAGAAATGGATGTGTTTAGAAGATCGTTAGGTATATCCCGCAGGGAAAGAGTTCGAAATGAGGAAGTAAGACGAAGAATTGGAATAGATGGTTACTTAACAACAGACATTGAGAGGAAACAGTTGATTTGGTATGGTCATGTTCAAAGAATGGAAGACACAAGACTACCCAAGAAGATTACGCAGTGGGTACCACCAAACCGCAAAAAACGAGGAAGACCCAAAAAGACATGGAAAGAAGGGGTAACTAAAGCAATGAGTACAAGAGATCTTAGAGACGGCCAATGGGATGATAGAAGGACGTGGAAGTTAGGCATCGGACAACGTCGAAAGACGTTCTAAAACCGATATATATATATATATATATATATATATTATATATATATACAAACAAGATAGTTTATTAGGGTTGCACTCAGAATATTGACCGGGATGTTAAAAAAAACACTCTTTTGACTTTTTGTCGAGCTTTCCGAATGGTTTTATTCCTTTTTCAAGACATAGTCGTTGAGATTATTTTGTAAGCTCGACAAAAAGTCAAAAGAGTGTTTTTTTTTAACATCCCGGCCAATATTCTGACTGCAACCCTAATAAACTATCTTGTTGTTTGTTTATATCGACAGTCACTAATATCCAGTATTTCTTATATATATATATATATATATATATATATATATATATATATATATATACATATATATATATATATATACATATATATATATATATATATATATATATATATATACATATATATTATTATACTTTTTCTTCCACAAACGCGGAAGGAACAAAAATAATTAAGGAATCCATCGGAAGTAAGTTTTTAAGAAATCTGAAGACAAAATATGTATTAATTTTAAGATAGAAAGTTTGTATATTTGTAAATAGATAGATTAGTACCGAAATTTTATGACTTATAAAGAACTAAGCCATTCTAAACGAGTTATTGACAAACCATTTGTACATTATAGAAAATAAGCTGTTACCTGAAGGATTAGTCCGGTATTGTGTTGTATAAATCTTCTATTATGACTAAGGCAAAAATCTTTGAAATGTATAAAAATTATTTGTTTACAAGGAAATGACCATTGTTAAAAGATTAAAGTTCCTTGCTTGAAAACGGTAATTAGCATTCCAACAAGTGTGGTAAACAAATTTGGATTTTGTGATGAGACGATCTTTTTGGAAGGGGAAATCGACAGACCGAGGGTTGATAGAGTTTTTGTTGGTTCGAGAAGACAGTGATGTTTGAGTGATCGAAAAGAAAGGTTGCGTCTCGACAGGCGGTGTGTTCGTGAGTTGGAGGCCGGCATTGTTAAGTGGATAAAGTTACCAGTCTTGTTAGCAGAATTGTGGAAGAAGTAGATTGCAAGTCGATGTAAAGAAATCCTTGAATCTAAAGTGTGCAGTTTCTGGAATACGTGTTAAATAGTTGTGGCACCAGGTGAGAAAAGAGATCCTTGGGTCACGAAGAAGTTATATGAATGTTTGAAGAAGTGATTTTCGTGTGTTAAGTGTTGGAGAATTGAGTCAGGAGGTTAAATTAAGTCAGTTAAATTGGCTGAAGGAGCAGATACTGAAACAAGAAGCCGAGGCGCAAGGTGGAAGAACACATTGCTGTGGAAGGTGGACAATTCTTTGTGTGGTCCTAAAACAATCCAGGGAAGAAAGGTCAGATATTTTCCTTTTTCAAGTTGAAAGGTGTGTAAATCTTAAATGCGATTTGTTTACCTCATTGTTGTTACCAGTTTAAAGCATGATTAGACCTTTTTACGTTTATCAAATGTTTTAAAGTTTTGTTTCCATAATAAAATAGTTTTTTTAAATATAAGGAAGATAAAAGTTTATAAAGGTATCCAAATTTAAATTAGTTTCAAATTGTTTTGTCTCAAGAAGAAAATAAGAATTAAAATTTTCTTTTTGTATTAATTTCATTACATGCATATTCGCTGATTGAAAAGATAACGGCAAATTTAATAATTGTTTTTTTTTATAAAATAAAAAATATCTGTATTTTATGTATTATACTTTTTATTATTATCCTTTGTTTTTCCTATCCCGATAAATACAACTAGAAAATTTTGAACTCACTGAACATAAGAAATATCAGAAGTTTATTTTTTAGGACATTGATAACGA